CTATGAACGGAATTTCGAGAACATTATTTTTTTTCATGTCCCCCTTTAAGTTTGAAAATCAAAATTTAGGAACTTTTTGTTTTAAAAAATGAAATGAATTCCAGCCGAGTCAAGTCATTTTGCGGCCATTTGTCATGCCTGCTCATCGAGGCGATTGACGAGAAACAAGCTGTCGAACGGTTCGATTTGATTGTTTTTGCCGATGGACAGTCCGATGAGACCATTGTTCAGGTGGATTTATATATTTTTTGATTTACTGTAAAAACTGCCCCTCCCCCACGGTGTCAAGTTTGACCTAATTTATCTTGGTTCCTATGCAAGTTATGTCTACTAATAAAATGTTAGTGATATTATGATAAACAATTTATCAGTCGACAACTATTTAATACCTTTACAGGAACCGAGTTAAAACGGCTCAAAGTAAAAAATTAGTTTTTTTACAATTTCCAGGCCGCCCGTCGTGCTACGTCCATCTAACCGAACTGCAAGAATGCATGAACAACGGACTCATTATCGAAATCTCCGGTGGCCGCGTCCGTGCTCTCACCCCGTTCTCTGCTCAAATCGTCTTCCCAAAAACTGCGAATTTCCCGCATTTTCAACTCAGAACTCACTAAATCTCATCATCAGTTTTCTCGAAATCAGGCTTATTATGAATTTTGCAGAATATGAATTTGTTTTTTTTTCTTTGTAATATGTATATCTTACTCTGAAAAAAGAAGTTGTTAACTGGAAAAATCGTATCGTATATTTTTGGCACAATTCGTTACATAGTTGCCAATTTTGGGTGTTCCTGTTGACTTCCTTTTTCAATGCTCGTAGCTCGGGAGTGAGCGGAGCTTAGGTCCGGTAGTAAAATCCTTAAAACGTATGTGTTTTTCGTAATTATTTTCTGGCCGATTTCTCAAATTTTTGATGAATATCATTGTTTTTTTGCTCTGTTTTTGCGATTTTTCGAATTTTTTTGTTCTGACAAAATTCAAAATCATTAAAGAATGTTTTTTACAGTTTTCAAAGCGATTTTTGTAATTTTACCTATTTTTGAAAAAGCTAAAAATCGAAAAGAAATTCATTGAAAAATAGCAAAAAAGGCTAAAAAAGAAGTACAAAAAATACATGCTCCTTTAAGAATTTCGCTACCAGACCCAAGCTCCGCCCACCCTCGCTCAGGTTTTACGGTATTCAGTTTTGCTGTAATGGTGGTTTTTTGATAATTTGAAGCATAATTGTACGAATACTAACTCAGAGGATTTTAGCGTCGAGTGGCGCCTTCTCGGCATCTTCCCGGCTATTAGCGAAGATCACTCGATCTTCCTGGCGCATTATTTACTTTTAATTTATTTCTGAACGATGACGGCATGATTTCCGAACGATGACGGCATGAACGAGGATCCGTTAAATCATTCTACACTTCATTCATCACACTTCATTCACCTTCATCATCTCTTGCAACTTCACTCTAATTTTTTGCTATCCAATCATATTACATTATCCAATCTCTTTTATTGTTATACGTTTTCAGTAATTTAATAAAGATCATCATTTCTATAGTTAGTCCGATATTTTTTTTCTACGTAAATCGACAATTAATTTAGGAGCGTATTCCGCGCTACTATACGCTTCACAGCTACCGTATTGAGCCCCTATGCGGCTAATAGCGGTCCAAAACGGCTAATAGCGGGTCGATTTGGCAAGGCGTGAAATGCATGTAGCGCCTTGCCAAATGACGCGCTATTAGGCCAAATTTCCTCTGAGTATTTCTGTTTCAGTAAAGTTTCAAAAGTTTTGAGATCATATTGTTAGTAATCGTTTATGTCGAGTGGAATCAGGGAAAAAAATCAGCATAAAAATATTCCAATTATTGTTCAATTAACAAAAATCGAAACTGTTGAAGAGAAATACCGCTTCCCGTGGTCGAAGGTCCCACAACAACAACTACAGTAACCTAAAAATTTCAGTCATTTTGTCTCGATTACTATTGCTTTTCGAAAGCTTTTGTGTTAATAACCTCCAAACAAGTCGGAAATTGGAATTTTCTAAAATGAAAACTGCCGGAAAAATATGAAAATAAATGTATTTGCTACCTACGGTAGTTCGGCGCTATCCGCGTTCTCCAGATTTTCTTTTCCCCAGTAATGTCGGTAAATTATAGACGAAGAAAACCACATTTTTTGCATAAACTCTTTTATTATTGAATTATAGTATTCATCAGTAACATGTAAGGCAGATACAATATTTGAGAGAAAGTACTTTCAGGGGAAAAAGGGAATTAGATCAAAAATTGTGATGATAAGATGGGGAGAAGAGGCTGGGGAATATCCGAATTATTTTGCAAAATGCACATCAGACGGGATGAAAGGAGGAACATTGGTTTGGAGTGAGAGAGAGAGAAGGAGAGAGGAGGATAGAGTCAGAGAGATATATAGGAGATAGTACAAAAAAAAAATGGATTACTGTTCATAAGGAGTCATGATCAAGAAGTCAGTTGGAGGCGCGTAAGTTGGAGCTGCAACGCCTTAAATAGTTGCCTAGCTGGAAGTACTAAAGGGGGAGGAGCTTATCTAGGAGCATCAACTATTTTTTGCACTGGTATGACGAAGCAGTTTCAACTAGTACACGCCATATGAGTGCCTAACCTCGCCATGTTAAAAAGAAGGGGAACAGTAAGGGGAGTAAATGAGATGGGATTTTGGAATTTTTGAAAAATTATTAAATTTAATTACTGGCCAGTTTGAGTAGCCTTGTTGTTGAGTTTCTCCGAAAGATATTGCCAATGGCCTTGAGCCCAATTGTGCACATTCTCGGACCACACGGCGATCTTTCCATAGGTGGTATGGAGGAGACGACGGCTTGGAAGGACGATGTGCTTATCTCCAGCTTGATCATATTTGAGTGGAACTTGGGGAACAGACGGATGTACCCCACAGTGAGTATGATAAGACAGGCTATGAAGATCAGAGCACAAGCGATCTCACTCTTTGGCTTGTACTTGTGCCAGTAGGTTCTGATGATAACGTATGGAAGAGTGATCAACCAATAGAGGAAGTTGAAGGCTCTAATGGCAAGATTGCTGACTGTGTTATATCCAGAGATTGCACTTTTCTTGACACAAGCTGTCCAGCAGCCTTTGTTGGCTCTGGATGGAGATTTTGAGAAGACACGGGATCCTGGGCGTATCTGAAAAATGAATTTATAAGATTCCAGGGCTCTGATATCAAGACTCTTACCGTAGTTGCCGATTCAGTCGCATTTCTAACTGGTCTCTGACGAAGGGTTGGTCTGCTTGGAGTGTCATCGTCATCAGCGATTTCTGTAGTCTTCACAACATTGCGTACTGGAGTTCTGGTCTGCGATTTGGATGCGGTTCTTTGAGACGTGGAAGCTGGAGTAGCCTTGATTGCCGGGGTCTTTGGGGTCTTGGTAGCCAGAGCCGCCCGGCTGGCGGTCGTTGGACGACCACGAGAACGGGATCGGGAGCGAGAGGTCTGAAAATGGAAATATTGGTTTGGAATCTGAGCATAATTTTGAGAAAGATGTTAGACGAAGAGAGAAGGGGTCTGCCAATGAGCAGCAGCTGCTCAATTAGCCATTCACTCCCCGAAGAGCTTGTTGTTGTTTTGCGACGTTGACCTTCCCTCTTTTTCTCTAACTTCTCTTCTAATTGCCTAATGTCTCGTTTATTTTCACGAATCTTGAGAATTCCCTAGAAGCCATTCGAACTTACCGATTTTGGTGTAGCTGGGACAGACTTTGGCGTCTTCTTGGCACTTTTCTCAACTTTTGGAGTACGTCCACGTGCTGGTGACTTGGATGCTTTTCTGGCTGATTTTGATGAAACTCGTCTTTTTGGAGAAACCGAATCTCGAGACGATGCTGGAGACGTGGAGACGGCGGTACGAGAGCGCGAAGTGGAACGAGCACGAAGCTTTGGAGGCTGGAAATCGGGGCTTAATTAGGTATATAAAAAAGAGAAGTAATAAATCCCTATTGGTAGATTGACCTAAATTTGATTTGATTGGGTAAAAAGAGGGGGGGGGGCGTATAATTGGCGGGATGAGGGAACGAACGGAAAGGGTTTGATGAGCGGCGGAAAATGAATGACAAGGTCTCAGGCGGTTTGGATCAAAAGGAATATCCAATATTCTGTATTAAAGAGTAATCGATTTTCAAAAACGCCTGTTCTACGGTTGCAAGCCTTATCTACCGTTGACAGAGCCACTCAAACGGTCAACTTTGAGCCCATATATCCCATTTTCTGTGACGAATATCAAAAAGTCGTCAACTGATAAAATATTAGTGATATTATGGTAAACATTTTGTCAGTTAACTACTTTTTGATATCTCTCACAGAAAGCGAGATTTAAAGGCTCAAAGGGGCGATGGTCTTTCATTCGAGTGTTCACGGCAAGATAGCCTGGTATGGAACTCTGAAAATCTGAAACACGCTCTAAACCTGCTTGTTAGAAACCCATTCCTTAACTACTTGAATTTTATCGGAAGCCGAAGAGATTGAAGACGTCAATTGCGAGTGAGCACCATCTGTCATAGGGGCAAGCAGATGGAGGGAATAATGCGCAACGCGCCTCTAAATTACCATAAGAACAGCCGAGTCAGTGTAATCAGTCAGCGGAAATTTTGAAATTTGAGCCTATCTGGAATGGGGTCAAAGGGCTAACTTAGGTAATCAGAGAGCTAAAGGCCTTCGGATTGCTCAAGGCATGATACCGTACTTTCTCTAACAAAGCCCACCCAACGCGTCAACTTTGAGTTCAATTATCTCGATTTCTGTGAAAGATATGAAAAATTTGTCAACTGATGAAATATTGTTGATGTTATGAGAAACAATTTTTCAATTGACAACTTTTTGATATCTTTTACAAAAATCGAGATAATTAAGCTAAATGTGCACGTTCCGTAAACACTCTAAAAGAACGCCAAAACCTAATTTTCAACTTTGAGCCAATTTATCTCGGTTCCTGCAAGAGATATCGAGAAGTGGCCAACTAACAAAATGTTTATCATAACATCAATAACATTTTATCAGTTGACACATTTTTGATATCTTTAATAGGAATGGAGATAATTGAGCTCAAAGTTTACGGTTTGGTAAGGCTCCTATTAGAGGAATTACAGTACCTCCTAAAAAGAAAACTTTGTATGTCTATTGAATTCTTGGGGTCTAGAGATCACAATTGATGGTACCGACTTCCAATAGTTTTGTTTCAGAAAAATTGTTTCCGGCATCTAGAATCCTCCCGTAAGGTTAAAATTTTGAATCTTGAGAGTTCCATTCTAGCAAAACATTATTTATCACCTTTCAAAAAACCCATTAACACCTATTTTTCATTTTTCCAGAACTCTACTTCTTCGCAATTACCCATCATCGCCCACCACCATCACCTTCTGCTGGTCCCTATCCTAATCCCCCTTCTCTCTCATCATATGACTCTGAGCGAAGAAGAGCACACTGTCTCCACATCGTCTTCTGTGCACAAGGGGGGGGGGGGGGGCAATTGACCCCAAACAGCCGCTCGCGCGATTTGGCACGTTGCCAAGTCTACTTTTTGGAATCTCGAGAGAGGAAGTCTCTCTGCGCATAGCCCCGTCCCTTATGCTATTGGATAGGATGAATGGGGCGAAGAAGGGGGTCTGATGATGTCCTTGATGAATTGTTGGCAACCCCCTCGTCACTCAGCAATGAAGGACATTTTTGTTATCATAAAAGTGATCGGGTGAAGGAGATGGAAATTTTTTTTCGGAAATTGGCCTAGTTACTTGGCAGTTAGTGATTGATAAGCGATTGATAAGGATGATACGAGAGCGGGAGACGAGAAATTTGAAAAGGAAACTTTAGGAAGAACTTTCGGATTGAAATTGGGGTGCATAGAAGTGAGCTTAGGAGCTTAGAGCTAAGCTTTTGAGCTTAAAGGTATGTTTCGGAGCTAAAAGGCGAGCTCAAGAGCTAATTTAAGAGTCTAAAATATGACCCAGAGCTAGTACTTTTATTCAGGAAAAAAATTCAAAAAAAAATCTAGACTCACCATTTCTATCTGCTGTAGACTGATTGGATATTGATAAGACGATTCGGGGAATCTGTCAGATTGAGATTGAGAGTTCTGAAAGAAAAATTTCAAAATTCAAAATCACAAAAATCACAAAAATGTATACGATCGATAAAGGACCACAACAACAAAAAACGAGGAAAAATGACAGTACCCGCCTGTCTAACTCTCTCGCCCTCTGTCCGTTTGTATGTAAATGTATGTGCCCCACACACACTCTAACGCAGCAGTTGGCACTGTGCCAAGTGGGCGTGGCTTACTGTCTATACCGCGGGTCAGAAGAGACATGGTGCATCGGTTGGTGTATGTGTGGGGTGAGGCGGAAAGCGAGGACGTGCGGTGACAATGGTGAGGGAGGTATTGACTCTCTCTGATCGACACACTATTTCGTTTCAAGGGTCAAAGTAAGGAAGACGACAGAGTGTAGAAGATAAAGAAACGCAGAGTTAACAGGTGTGGAGTGCAACACCATCACCTACAGAAAACTCTACAGAAAAAAGAGAAGAGGAATGGTGGGAAAACGAGACCCCATCTAGGTTGGAGGAGAGAGTTTTTGTCAAATAGTCCGTAAGAATGGAATAAGAAGGGGTTCGAATGAGTGAGAGTCCGGGGAATTCGGGGAAAGAGGGAAGAGGTTTAGAGAAAAGAGGAAATTATGCTTTTTCACGCGATTGTTAGGAAGCTTCCAAGTAGCTATCAGACAAATTCGAACTAGGTTTTTTAAAAATAGAATTTAAGCTACTGTAAATGCTGTAATAGAAGATTACAATAACCGCTAACTTTGAGATAATATATCTCGGTTCCTGTCAGAGATATCAAAAAGTAATCAACTGATAAAATATTTTTGAAATTATGATAAGTATTTTATCAGTTGACCACTTTTCATATATTTTACAGGAGCCGAGATATATGGGCTCAAAATTGGCTGTTTGGGCGCTCTTCTATTAGAGTGTTTACGGTGTTTTAAATTTTGTAAGGGGATCAAAAGATTAGAATCAAACTAGAACATGATAATTTTGAGAAATTTAATAGCCGTCCATATAATATTCACTGCAATTTTGCCAAGTTTACATCCTGACAAGTTTACATTAGAGCCAAAAGCTCCAGAATATTCAGCATGGTCTTGAAAGGAAATACTCAAGAATCAAGAATGACAGTATTAGGATTATATTTCCTGGTTGAAATCACAAAACCAAAAATACAACAGTTATTAATTTGAAAGTAAATCGCCGAACAACAATTACTGTTTCATCGATTTTCTAAAAAATATGTTAAGAATTGAACTGGAATTTTGTATCTCCCTAAACGTGTTCTTATGCTTCCAACGATGCTATATAACACAAACCATCTATTATTATTACTAATAAAACATTGTCTTTTGATTTTGTGTCCATTAATGGGGCTATTTTGTTTATCAGTAATAATGAAGAAGTACATATGGAGCAAGAGAAGAGAGTAATGGTCAGTTGTGTTGGTCAGCAGACTCAAAAATGTAAACATTTTTGAGAAAGGAGTAGGAAAATTGTAAACGATATATGAGTTTGGGTATAAATGAATTGTATTTAGGAAAGGAGTGAGGAAGATTACAGTAACCCATAGCTTCTTATCTTATCTGGAATAGATGAATAACAACAAATGTTTCGTAGTGTTAATGAAACATTCTAAAATAGCTTTAAAACTATACTGTTTCCAGTTTTTTATTTCAATTACAAGTTTTCCTAAACTTCGTTTCACAAAGTGCACGGTGGTGAACTTTATAAGAGAATTTCGAGTTGAAAAAATATTTTTTTAATTTTACCCGGAGCCTGTGATAAAAGGGCACCCACACTGTCAAGTTTGTGCTCAATTATCTCAATTCCTATGAGGGATAACAAAATGTGATCAACGGATAAAAGGTTTTTCGTAAAATTCCCAAAATTTTATCAGTTGACAACTTTTTTGTATCTTTCAACGGAACCAAGAAACTGACTCAAAGTTAAAAGTTAGGGGCCCTTCTATTGCAGGTTTCAGGTACACTTTTTTAGGAAACATTTGTAAAAAAAAATTACCGAACAAAATGTATTGCTTTCAACTTTTTGTTTAAATTTTAAGTTTTTCTGAACTTCGTTTTGCAGAAAATACATGTCTGGGAACATGAGAAGTGAATTTGGAGTCAAAAATGTCGAATTTCAATATTACCGTAAAACCTGTAATAGAAGTGCCCCCTGACTTTCAACTTTGAGCCCATTTATCTCGGTTCCTGATAAAGATGTAAAAAATTTGTCAACTAATAAATTGTTGCTGCTATCATGATAAACACTTCGCACTTCTATTACAGGTTTTACGGTAAATGATAGCTTATGCCAATCGCAATAAAACCATGTAAACATATTCTTATTCATAGACTTCTTGTAACAGGGAAAATTTTGAAAAATTCTAGATACATTCTCAACGGAAAATATTCAGTTTACTAAACGGTTTTGAATCAAACCTACAAAAATGCGTAAGAATTTCAATTTCAAAAGAAAATTTTGGAAAACCAGACCGTTTCAAGAAAAGTTAAAAAAAAAAAGAAAGAGACAAACGAATAGTTATGAAGACGCGTCGAGAACGTTCTCGAAAAGAGAAAAGAGAGGGAGGCGGAGAAGACAAGACGTTCTCGCATAAATATATGTATGAACTATATGTCTCTCTCAACGAGAAGATGAGATTGTTTCCGATTGTCTGCGTTTCTTTATCATATCAATGATACTAATCTGTAGATTTTCTAAAATTCTTGGGGCCTAAAAGTCCCCAGAACTTTATTGAACCGAAAAATTGGGTTAGAAACTGACACGTGATACCTAACACTCAAAAACTAAACTAGAAGGTACACAGAGTGTGTGAACGAGATGAGCAAAAAAGAAGAAGCATTGTTTGCCCTAGTAACTTGGAGGTTTTGGAGACGGAGCAGAGGGAGGACTTTTTAAAAGCTAAGATTCATAATGTTCAGGTTTTTGAAAATAGGGATCTCTAGAGAAAGTCCTTGATAAAATTAATATGGATTACTGTATTTTTTAATTGGAAGTTTTTGAAACTTCACGCTGAAGTTCTCCTTTTAAGTCAGCGTTTGAATCAATAGCAAATATTTTTAAAGGTGGAATATTTTGAAAGGTGGGGGTCGTGGAAAAAAATATGAAAGCTAAACACTGTACACCATCACGTCAAAACTCAAAAAAAACTCGGAAAAATTTCTATCTCTCTCTTTTGTCATCAGTAGCTGAAACTAGTAGATATGTGTGGAATGCTACAATTAACGTTGTCTAAACAGAAACAAAAAAAAATTAATTATTTGAGAAACAGAGAATTTTTTCTAATATTTTTTCTAAAGGCACAGAACTTTCTGAACAAAAATATTCTTGAAACTAAAACACGGTGTTTCAAACCAATGGGTCGACAATCGCGCCCCAGAAAACTTTTAGACCAGGCGAAATTTAATAATTTAAAAATTAACGTGGATTTGACCTAAATATTTGTATTCAACGCATTGCAACTCGCGATTTTTTCGCCCAACGTTTAAAAGTTTGATCTTCAGCCAGAGAAAATTGGACACGTTGCGCAGTGTTTTTTCACGTTCGCTGGGGCACGATTTTCGACCCATTGGTTTGAAATACCGTGTATAATACAAACTTTATATCCAGAAAACACGATGATTGCCATAAATCAACTTTTCTCCGAATCCATAAAAATCTCCCGCAAACCATTGAAAAAGGCAATTCGGTTAGGATTTATAGCATCCGAGTCTCATGGAACATAAGATAACAATCAGTACGATAACTAAATGGAGTTATGTATCAATTAATTGGTATCTACTATGAAAAAAGGGAAAGATAATATTTGTTGGGTATATGCGGGATTTATGTAGCGGTAAAATTCTGGAATGAGTGGTTTTTCAGAAACAAGGTTTTGAAAAGTTAAGAATGAAAATTGTATTAAGAAGAAGCCGTTTTTGAAACGTCTGCTATTTTTCAAATTTTTCTGATAAGTTTAAAATCCTTAAAATTAGATACGGTATTCCCTCTAATAGAAGCGCACCCAAACCGTCAACTTTGAGCTCAATTCTCTCATTTCCTGTCAAAAAGTTGTCTACTGATAAATTGTTTGTTATAATATCAGAAATGTTTTATAAGTTGAAAAATGTTTGGTATCTTGCACAGGAATTGAGATAATTAAGCTCAAAGTTGACAGTGTAGGGGCTCTTCTATTACAGGTTGTAGGTTTTCTCTTCTTGGATGAAAGGGCTAAAGGGAAACTAAAAAAACTCACCAAACCAAAAGTTACTGTTTCATTGATTCTATAAAAAAAAATGTTTAGGGTTGAACTGGAATGATCCGGATTCTAGCTCTTCTTATGATTAAATCAATGCTCGGGCTGGGAGCCCTTCTATTACAGGTACTCCGGTGTTCTGAATAACGACGGCTAATGAAAAATTTGCGAGATTACTGTATGATGTCTTTTCAACACCGTGTTTCGCCTAATTACCTCTAACACCTCACACCTCTCTCCCCAACAATCCTCCGATTCGAAACAATACAAACAGACGGGGACGGCACATTAGCTCATTCTCCTCCTCGTCAAATTCAAACGGACTGCCTCTTCTTCTTGAACATCAGTTGTATGTAATAATAATAATAAGGCTGTACACCTCATGTATGTTGTTCTCTCTCTAGGTTAGAAGAAGAATAGGGACTCATTGTGCAAATAGTGTTAGGAGGAGGAGGTCAAATGCAACGGGAAACCGTGAGTACATGCACATAGAGAGACAGAGAACAGTACGAAAGGAAGGGACCTTCTCATGGGTAAGCCGCTTTATACGGACGACTCTCTGTATCATGACTAATACCGTAGTCAAACAGTTGTATCACATACCTTCTCGTAGAGAATCCGCGATTCCGTGTACCAACGGCACGTCGAAAAAGTCTCAGCCTCGAGAATCTTCATGATGGAAGAAAGAGGAAGAATACGAATGTCAGGTTTTGAAACTAAACAAAGGATGCGATGCATCATTCACAATTTACGATGTTGATTTTGAGAGAGACAGTTTTTTATTCAGGTGGAAGGTGGAGCGTGATTCGACAGGTGTTTCAAGAAAAAATTCCAAAAAAACTCAAAAAGATTTGCCGCCAGCAGGGGTCGAACCTGCGACCTTGGGCTTATTAGACCCACGCTCTAACCGACTGAGCTATGGCGGCACAAACACTTTTATTTCCGATTGCAAAGAAAAGTGTTGTGGCAAGAGAAAGAGAACAAGAGTGTACATTCAAAATGTTTATTTCTAGTATGTATGTGGTAGAAGAGAAATGAAGGAATGCTGATGATGATGATGATGGGGAGAAGAGAGACAAACGCACACAATAGAAAACATCATTAAAAGTGGAACGGGGCGAAACGAAAAAAAACGCTCTTCGAGATGATATCACATACAAATTCTTCTTATTTTATCTGACTTTTGTCATTTGGATCTGAAAACATATTTTTCACGATGTCTAGGATTTTTCCAAGCTTACTGCTCATGTTTGGCGCGTAGCTCCTTATCCGAGAATGAGGTGATTGTGGTGATTGTAGTTGAAACAGTCTCATCCTCCCAGTCCCAGTGCTCACGATCACGGAGTTGACGGTCTTCGCGAGCCTGGAAGTCATTAATTGCTAAATTTAAATATTTCGAGATTTCAGAATCTCAGAATTTTCATGCTTTTTTTTGTAAAAATATTGAGTTTTATTTAGTGCTCTTTTCCATTCCTAAAACCGGGCTTTTGCCTACAATTTGACGTGATAACGTTTGCAGAAACTACGGTATGTGATAATTTAAATAATTTCTGCAAAAACCATCACGTCAGAATGCAGACAAAACGAAGACGATATAGTTAAGGTAGATTTAAGTGACAAGCCAAAATAATTTTTTTTCGGTTTCGCAATTTTGACAATAGACTCGAGAAACTATCAGCTTATTTGTAAACGCGATGAATTCTGAAGAATTTTAGAATTTTAGGAGTTCAGAACTTCAGAATATTAGAATTTTAAAACTTTAGAATTTCAGAATCTCAAGTTCAGATTTTGTCTGCATTTTGAAGTGATTGCGTTTGCATGAACGACTGTATGTGAAAGTTTAAACTCTTTTCTGCGAAAACTAACACGCTACAATGCAGACAAAGCCCCAATGACCTAGTTAAGGCAGATTTAGGTGATATGCCAAATTAAGTTTTTTTTCAGTTTCAAAATTTTGTGAATAAACACGAGAAACTATTAATTTTATTGAAGATGCTATATTTAGAATGTAATAAATTTTGAATATCAAAATCCCAGAAACTCAGAATATTAGAACTCCAATATTTTTCAATTTTCAACATTTCGATTAATTGGGAATATTTTTTCTTTTCAAACTTCGGAACTAAAATTCAGAAAATTTGTGAGAAGTTCGATATTTTGGAGTTCTGTAATTTTGTAAATTCTGAATTTTCAATATTCTCGGGATTGGCATACTTGTAAAATTCCGGGCCGGCCCGCCAAAGCCCGGGCGGGCCTGAGGAAAATTTCAAGGCCCGGGCGCGGCCCGGAAGGCTCGGTAGCAAAAATGTTGTCATTTCGAACCGAATTTTGAGCTCTCAATACAATTTTCTATATTTTTTTTTGTGCTTTTTGGATTGTTTGTCTGTTTGATCGAAAAAAAATCACATAAGGGTCCCCCCTTATGTGTTTTTTGAAATTTTCAAAACTTGTGGAATGACAGGTCCGCCG